GGCTACGTCGTAGCCATCCTCGACCATTGCTGGTGGACGTCGCACTTTTCTGCGTTGACCGCAATGTCCAGCTTTGTCAAAAGCTGCTGAGTACAGGGAACCTTGCATAGGTGAAACGACACCGTCTGGCACTCTGCCTTCCCGCTGGCACTCTGCCTTCTGTGAAAACACCTTTGAATTAAAGTCAGCCGCAGCTATGCCAGCATTTAAGCGCATGCTCCGCTTGCCGACTATTTCAGGCCCACGCCAGCAAGCGGCCTGTAGATCAAGCAGTGGCCGAAGTCGATGGCCTCGTTGGTACCAAGGTCAGCAACTGTGCGACCTCAGGAAAACAAGAAATACTTTAGGGTGCTGTCTAAGGTGTCACATTTGCTCCAAAATTTTAGTCGTGGAACGCATCTGGACCAAAGAGTCGTGGCCAACCAGCTGCAAGTCCTCGCAGAGGATTGACCGAAAGGATTTTCAGGATTTCCTGAGAAACTCCACTTCACAACTAGTTACTAGTTCAATCTTAATGGAATCAGTCCTCCAGATCGCGAGCTTTACGCAGGCGGCGAATCCAATCAGGGGTTTGTGTGATTTTCTCAGTTGAGGCCAGCTGCCATGTGGCGTCATCTGAAGAATCTTCTTCTTCCGCGATCTGAATCTGCTGTGGTCTTTGGGCTGCAGGACTCCTTTTTGTCTTTCTCTTCCATGCCGCCCACCCGGATGAGCCGCTCCGACTTTTTTTTGATTCACCCTTTGTCTGGGATTTCATTGCCTTCATGGCTTTCATTGCCTTCATGGCTTTCATAACCTTCATGGCTTTCATAGCCTTCATGGCTTTTTTCATGGCTCGCACCGGACCTACCACAAGGAAACCCAAGCTGAAATAGCAGGCCGGCGCAGAAGCAGGATGATTTGAATTTGTGTGAAATGCCACTGCTGCAATAGAAGGCGCACGGGTGCACACGCCAGTGCGCACGGGTGCACGCAGAGGTGCACACACAGGTGCGCGCGGGTGCGCGCGGAGGTGCGCGCACAGGTG